ATAAATTGGACTCGAATATAAGCTTTGCAACGCAAAGGGGACTAGATCAAATTAAAAGTTGTTTAGCGGGCCGCACTTTGCAAACCACTACACTAAATCATAAGTGACCAATTTAATCAGGGCAACCAGGACGAACCCACAAAAGGAGAAAATTCACTCACTGAAAAATTCTTTTAATATAAAATTCAGCATGTATTTAGAAAAATATAATGTACTCGTACGAACTCATTTTAATTGTGCGAATCGTTGTCAATGTCTACGTTATTGAAAATGTCGGGTATACCTCTAACTAATGTACCAGTTAATCCGCTTCATAAGCACTGACTCCTGTCGTAGATGAACATCAAGTATATAGTTTATGTTTTTTATTATTAGATATTGGCTATCAGGATAGTTTTTATCTTTATTTACTGTAAAAGTCGGTGTCGCGCGTTACTTTTTTTTTGATCATGATGAAGTATAAGCTAGTAAATTTAAATTGTTCTAGCGTTTTACGCATCATTTTTTGAGTCCGCGGTATTGTGGAACATCATTGCGCTCATCTTGTCATTCAGTCTTTCGGGCGACTGAAAAAATTATTATCAGCTGGAAGGCAACTATTTTTAACAAGTGGTGTTATCGCAGCTTTTTCGGAAGTCTTGCATTAAAATATGCGGGATGTGCATTTTCGGCCTTTTGAAATCCCGGCTGTGCCCCTGTGATTTTACAGGATAATTCAAGTAAACATTCACATTTGAATTATTTCATAACAATAGAAGGATACATACGTTAACAGAATTATGTTTTGTTCAGTTACTGGTATCCCTGGCCGGTAGGTAGTTAGACCACAACAAGGAATTTTCAAAATCTAAATTTCAGAAATACCTCAAGTTTTAGCGCACGTCAAACATTAGTTGTAATTTTCCCTGCACAGTATTGGCAGAATTAATGATTGAAAAGAAGTCCATTACCATTTGTGTTTTGGCAGATCCTCGGTCAACTGGCATAAGAACTTATTTTCGTCGTCTTTGGTGGTGGATACCCATTGTTTGGGGGAGAACGACTGACCACTTTGACGAGAGTACTGACGTCAGTCGCAGTAAGTTGCCGTTGAAATATTCCAATTGTAGACTTGAAACAAATTTTTTCGATAAAATACTTTGGACTTCCCATTCTCTAATCACGGTATTTTGTCGATGGCGTTGAATTGCTGTTAATTCTCCTGATTGCAGACTTGAGACGATTCCTATAGAAGAACACACGCACATGACAAAATAGTACCACCACCGATTGTAGAGATAAAACGTAATAAATCTTTCATAAAATAAAGTTATCAGTACTATAGACAGTAAAATGACCTTCAACATTTAAGTCGTGATTAAATATATCATGTTTTCCATAGGTATTGCATCTCTAGAAGATCAGAGCGACGGCGATATTGGTAAGTAGCTTAGCAGCCACTCCATTGCCATACCAGGCCCTTCAATATATAAACAGGGACTGACAAATTTTGGGAATTTTCGGTTTTTGGGAAAAACGAAATGTAATAATATAATGCAATTTATTCAGTAGTTACATGCACGGCAGGCCTGGATCAGATTTCTAGATTTAGATTTTTATTTACATATATAGAATATATCATTCAACTGTTAACTCCATTATTGCAATAAAAGTGTTTCAGTAGTGACGTTTATTGAGCATAATACCAGCATAGTATCTGAAGTCAACTTTGTGAAGATGGTCAGCACTTGTTGTTGCATGCGATCACAGACAAACAGAGTAATGGAAGCGTGAATTTTGCTCGTAAAATTTTGATAAAGTCGCTCTTTGAGTCGTGTGCTAAGACAACGGGATATCGTTAGGCTAGTCAGCACTGCGATATCTAGTATTTTATATAATGTAAATAATTCTGACAATAAATCTGTTAAATATATCGGTTCCAATGTTTGTTATCTTTGTTAACTTTATCCGAAGTGTATGAGAAAGCGGTTATGCAATTAACCGTGGCAAATTAGCTTTACGTAATAAAAAGTGTAATAATATGCCATAGTTGAAATTTCAGTTGGTTAGCTTATCTTGGATTTTGTTTTATGAAATCAAAAAAAATATAAAATATTAATCGAGCAGTTTATGATAAGGGAGAATACTATCATTTAAACGAGTATTCAGTTCATTAATGAAATGCGGATATTTTTTGTCAGCTATCCCATGAACATATTGATTACAAGTCGTTTAACAATGAAAAATTGAATACACAACACGAATTGAACTTAGCAATAAACCGTGGACTTGCAATATGCAAGTGACTAATCTTCCCTGTATTAAAAGAAGAAATCGCCTCATTGAATCTTAACAACCTATTTTTTTATTGATTAAATTGTCGTCACCTGAGAGAATGAGTGAGACATTCTTTTTTGTGACCAATAATCTGAAATTCAAACATGTTTAGTATATGTACGACATTTTTACGTATATGTGAATCAATTTTATTTCGGTTTGTACATTTATAAAATACATTTAATAAATAAATCCGGGTAAATTCACTTCATAGCTGCACTTGGTGTCGCTGATTGAAACATATGGATCTTCCTCCCAACTCCCGTCGCACAGTTGTTGAACATATATTTATTAGCAACATTTACTATTCTGACGTTTATTCTGTCCTGTCCTATCTAGTTTTCATTCATGAAAAATCCAATCTGACTGAAGCGTGTTTATTTCGACTTAAATTTTCAAGTGTGTTTGAACAGACTTGCATTTATAATAAACTGAAGATTTGATGAATACTGATTATTACTTATTGCCACTACTATAATGTTTCAGTTGGAACAGTGCCAATTCATTACACTCCGGGCAAACACAGTTAAGGACTTAATATGTCTCATATAAACTACAACCCATCAATTTCCTAACCCAATTGCTTTTACAAAAATAGAAAAAAAAATTATGAACAATTAAACTTCTTTCTGTATGTTTATGATTGTACCAAAAATTTTCAGAAATACAGGAAGCATTGCACAAAATGCTCGTTATAAAAATAAGTCCCAGTCTTTTAGATGACCTGGGTTCGTTTAAGAAACCTTGAGGAATGTTTTTGATCATATTGACAGTTCGCAGCAGTGACTCGCCTAGTGAAGAAGAAGGCCAGAATGCCGTTTCGAAGGATGATGGAAGAAAGAGTCCAGGTATGATGTTTTTAACTCTTAGTTAAAGAGGAACTGAGTTTGCATTGCTGATTTATATGATTCTTGCCAAACAGCAATTTGCACTCCGTTTCCTAGGTTAATCTCATTGTCATTTTGTGGGTTGTTGAAAATTGCAAACAATACCCAAATTTGACTACTTATCCATACTCTATATTTTCTGAAAAATTGTTCTATGATGAGTACCTGAAAAGTAAATCAATATTACACTTCTGAGACACCCTGTTTATACGGCATTTTCATGTATAGGTGGATCCATTTTGTTTGAGCCTGTACGGGTTTGAGCTTATTTAACATAGGTTTTCCAGAAGTTGCAGGCACAAAAATTTTGGCTATTGATCTTATGACATGCGTTGTTCGCTTCGCACAAACTAGCTGATATGACTTAACTACGGCAAAACCCAAAAGTGTCACTCGTACTCCCAATTTTTATTATCAGAAGTCGCTTAAAGACACGAAGTCACAGACACACGCGGAAATCTACTCGCTTACTCATTGTCTAAATTGTGGCTTGACCTCTAAAGCAGGGTTCGACAACCTTTTGTCCCTGGCGGGCCAAAATTAAGGGGGACAAATACAATGGCCGCAATTTTTTTTTAAGAAAGCTAAAAAAACTGAACGGGTGGCTAATGAATTTCATTATTAATATAGATCAGAAGTTGAAATTTTATACTTTAAAAAGCGAGCGAACACTTCGACAACTCGTGGACTTGACTCGTCTTACTATGCAAATAATATTCATATGACATTTAATGTGACACTATTTGTTGCATTACGCTTGATACCTTTTCGACATCATGTGACACACTGGATGAAGCAAAAATTATAACATTTTCTGGATGGTTCTCCGCAAAAACCGCCAACTTTAGGAAGAAGAAATTTTATTGAATAACAACATATCAACGATTCGAAGGTCTACTCCATGTCCAATTTTCTTCTCCTCATGCGTAGATTACAAAATTAAATTATGGTTTTGTTGATAAATTTCAGTGAATCGGCGGGTCGTAGGTTGTCGACCCCTGCTCTAAAGTCTTCATACTTTGGTTTTCCGTAATGCTTCTTGTGTTTTGTGGTAGTATTGCGGGCACTTACTGTTTCTCCCTTTTCTCGATGTCGCAATAGCAGCAGTAATTAGCAATTTCATTTTCGAGGCGGAACTCATGCTTACGCTTGCTCATTGTCTAAATTGTGCTTGTTCTCAAAAACAGTATCCCTGAAAACTATCAGCAACTATTGTAAATGTGTCACAGTTCGCCTGGAAATGCCGTAAACCCTACCGTAAACAGAAAAAGTTCACGCTGAGCGTGAGCAAATCCGAGACGTCACAATAATAACACAGCGAAGTGCGAATAATGATAAGCATCGTCCCTCGTTTTTACGGGAAGCTTTGTACGCAAAACAAGAACGGGTCATCCATATTTCTAAGACAAAGTAAGCACGCAATTCAAAAATAAGCACTTCTTAGAAATAAGCACATCGTTACTTTGAAAGACGCGGACTAGAAAATAAGCACAGATCTCAGAAATAAGCACATATGGCAACCCTAAGAAAAGGCTTTGCAACAAAAAGGAATTGGAATTACTCGCATCAGATTAAACTAAATTAAAAACTTATTTCGCGGGCCGCACACCATTCAAAATTGGCACTACCCCGCGGATCGCCCAATTTGTACTCCTGATATAAACTGAATCAACACTTAATTCATCTAACGAATAGATCTCGGTAACTTTAATCTTACTACTCATATCTGGACTAGATGTCGCTGATTGAAACTAAGGTATCTCCTTCCCAACTTCTGTCGCACAATTTGCGTTGAAAATAGATTTATTCGCAACATCATCTTGATGTTTCTGTATTGACGAGTAAAAAAATAATTATTATTTTCAGGGAAATCTTCATATAAAGTAAATCTTCGTAAGTACATTATTCAATTTGAAAAATTTACTAATGAAATGCCCCGGCGATTTGTGAGGTGTCATCAAATTTGGGTTGTAGTTTAGTAATATTTAATCAGATGGCTATAGATGAGAATGTTCATGGATACTGGTAATAACCAGGTACATGCGGGCTTGTAAGGTTTTACGGAATTCAGGATATATGATACATGCGTGGTATTGAATATAATGAGTATTCGTGCTTTATTGGACACGTAGTGGACATAACGATCGTTTCAATATTATGTTGTTGTTGTTCTTGTTCTTTGACACGTTTTTAAAAAGTCGCTTTTCTCTTCGAATACTGGACCAATTGCTTTGAAATTTTCAGTGGTTGAAGATAAAATTTTTCTCCAGAAGGCTATTACTTTTTTTTCGCTATGACGTCATCAAAATTATTGCCATTGGGTGGCGCTACGTGTCCATATATTTGAGCATAGCTCTCTTGTACTTTATTTTAATCATTTATGATGTCTAGCTAGGTGACCGTACATTTGAACCCACGTGTATATCCGCGGGTTCAATCGATATTCGGGTGCTAAAACCCATGGGTTAGGGTTAGTATGGGTTCAACTATCCGTATAACAAAAAAAATTTCCATATGTGCAATAGCATGCAGGTGCAATTGTCATGGGTTCAAATGTACGTGGGTTCAAATGTAATGGAACCGTCTAGCTACAAAATTAAACAAGAATAATGGGGTGAATCACAATAAAAATTTACAAAGTTTGTTAAATCCATTTTTTTGCATTGGGTAATTGTACACCCAAATATTAACACATTTTTCGGTTCAAGCCCCTGTTGCTTAATCATTCATGTTATATAACTTGCTTTACGTTGTATTAGTTTTCTTTCAAGTCCAGTATAGTTAGAGCTAGTACATGCATTAACCTTGTAGTTGTTCATGATGAATGGATCAATAATTCTTGTCCAAGTGTGTTTGAACAGGCTTGAATCTCCGAGTGTATTCAAATAGACTTGAATTTATAATGAAGTGAGTATTTGATGAATACTAATTACTATTTATTGATTTTACTATATTGTTTCAGCTGGAGCAGGTCCAACTGAAAAAGGTGAGAGATTACATATTTTTGAGACATGAACTGTAAATTGACATCTTACATTGCTTGATATCATGCCATTGTGCTTTTCATAAAAACTCATTTGCTCTGAGCAATGGCATGAACAAACAGCCACTGATATCGATATACAAGAAGCTTATATTTTGGGAAAACTGGTAACTGCATTGCCTACTCAATTTATCAAACCCTGAGTTTACAGTTAGAATGCAACAGTGGTTTAGCCAGGATTTTTCCAACAATGGGGGGTTTAGGTGAAATTAGAACATTGCATCAAAAGTCGGGGAGGGTTATGGGATATTAAAACAGTGCATCAAAAGTGCGATTCACGACGACGTAAGGCGTTTAATAAACTAAAATGTATGCGTCGTTTACAGCGAAATTCCACAGCCACAAATTAATTTTATTCTGATTTTTATTTTCTGTGTAGGATTTGTATCGCAGTTTGTAAATTACGATCCCAATTATTAGGCAAGCAGTATTATCATTACTGACCGTGATGCGATATTCGAGAAGCGGATAGTTGACATTTTTATGCTTTCAACTTTTTATTTTGTACGTGTTACTTTTGTATTGAAATTAAAAACACCGCAAATAGGTAATCTCTTGAATACTCAGTGTTGAGCAGGAGTGCACAACCTTTTTTCTATAGACGACCGCACTATGTTTTCGTAAAAAAATTACGGCCGTCAAGAAGATACGGGTATTTTATGAGTATATTTAATTAAGGAATTGTTTTATATCGATATGTCTTGCCGACTTGCGCCTAAAACGTTTATGAATGTGAAAATAGTACCTAGTGTTCTTTAATAAAAACTTTTTGATGTGGTCCAAATTAAAAAATTTCAAAAAATACAATAATATATCAAATAGTTTGATGTACAATTTGAAACACTGAAGAACAAAGTACGCAGGATCGATACCCGACTCTTATTGGAAATTACTGTAAGACCGAGTGCGCGACGTATTTTATTACTATCGTTGATATTTCTGTGCGACAATTCAAATAAGCCATCTTCCGCTAATTATTACTATTTCTTGCGCCGTATTGAACAATGGAATCAAATATTATTTTTTGCAGAACTCTAAATTTACTGAAAAAACGCATGTTGTTTAGCCACCATCGGACTTATATTTTTCTATTGTATCGGTGTCATTTTTGCGTTAAATAAACATTCCGACAAGACGTCATTGCATATATCGTATTGGCGACCCGGCCTGTCAGTGACGCCTCAGTGTTACGATATTTTGTGCAAAAGTTTTCGAAAAATAGGTAGACAATGCCCGAACTGGAAAAGTTTGGGTATTTCAAATTACAGTAACTTCTCTATAATTCGGTGAATCGGTGGTTGGTTGTATGGAGTGGTGTTTACAAGCATTACGGTTTATGATACCGGCAATCTATTTTCCAACTACCGCTTTGATTTGTCACAACATCCGGACGTCAACACCAACCTTCGAACGTAAATTTCCTTATAAATGCAATACCTTTTTGTGACATTCGACAAGATGGTGAAGTCAGAAGAAGTTATAAAAATAAGCAAGTACGTTAACGACACTATATATAACTAACGAAATCCCAGGATCTAATGGCGTTGTAAATATTCTTGTCTTGTTCTTATTTTTCAGTTGAAAGACATAACACCACAGCCGCACATTTCGTCTCCAAGGGCCACACGCGGCCGTACGGCCGCAGGTTGTGCACCCATGGTGTTGAGTATTCACCTCAGATTTGGGTTGAATTTGATACTGAACACGTGAATAAATCGGCAATTATAGTATTTCTACGTGGTCAAAATAATATTGAATACAATATATAGATGTCTTACTTATCTGGTTCAACGTTTCTAAATTTACAAAACCGGTGTTGACGAGCTTCATGTAAAATTAGGAATTGAAAAATATGATAGGTGCAAAAAGGCATTTACATTTGTAGTTTCTACATGTTAGCGACAGTCGTCGGTACATTCCTGCCCGTAGCTCGTGAACTGATGTTATAAAATTATGTTTTACATTCAATGCGCTGTGATTCGTATCAATAAAAGTGATAGGGTCGGGAAAGGAGAGTTTTCAAATTAGCCGTATATATCTCTTCTTTCCTTCTGAGTGCCAATAACGGGGGTGAAAAAAAACAAATACGCCTGCCTGAATTGCAATCAACAATTACACATTCTTATCATCATTATCAACGCCGACTAAACGAAATAACATATCGTAAACTCGAAAAAAGTCTGCCGGTGTAAATTGCGCTACGGCTATAACGCTCAGAACTAAATCGTTTTCACCGCCAAACCAAGATGTGCGACCGTGAAACGACGCTGTTGCTTAACCCCCCCCCCCCCCGCTGGCTTGTGAGATATACCTTGTTTAACTTTTTAATATATGAACAACAAATGTTGAATTTCATTAATCAGAACTCACGACAATCTATATACTATTCAAGGCAGTAAGGCAACATGCAAAAATAATGAATACCTTTTGGTTGACTTAATTTAATGCAAAAATTAGTTTAATTTTTTGGGTATTTCTCCAATAACTCTTCGTCGCAATTGTATGAATCGTACTTTATATGCTATTTATGTGTTTCGTGTTAACTACATAAGCATATGATGACATAAAGACAGAACCTATAAATTTCTTAACTGAATTGCTTTTCACGAAAATTGGAAAAATGGAAGTACGATTTTACCAAAATCCCCTTGTACCTGTACTCGAACTCTGTTTGATCATTGACAGATATCAGCCAAGAAGACCAAGGTGTGATTGCGGAAGATATGGAAAGAAACATTCCAGGTCTGATGTTTTTAGCGTCTTTAAATTACTTCTCACTTGTGATCTAAAATAATTCTAATTTTGACAACTGAAAGCATTTGCCAATGTAAACGTGCGAATTATTGCAGTGTCTGATTGAAATATGAAGAATCGAAAACCGATTCCAAAATAGTAAAATATTAACAGCACCAATTTAACTTTTGAACAAATCAAGAACTCGCAATATGCGTTAGAAACTTAGCGATCTTTTTTGTATTGAAACGGAGCATTGAATCTTAGTAACTTATTTTATTTCGTGTTTGTTTTTGATATATTCGGCAAAGACGCATTATCTACAATCAAACGTAGTATGCCGCTGATATGTAAACTATTTAATCTTTATAGGCCGAAACAGCATGTGGTTAGATTCCGTTTTCTACTTCGTACAAATAATGGGAATTTACAATACATTTAGGAATTGACCATGTTCGATAAGTTGATTTTCTACATGCTTTTTATCCTTTTTCCGGAAAAAGTTGAAAGCAAGTGTGATGGCTTTAATGAGACTCAACATAATTTCTCCATTATTTACGGTTAATAAAATGTACACTGGCCATGCTAGATAAGTTGATAGTTTAGTACAATGATGCCCAAAGTGGCGATATTGCCCCCCGGTGGGCGGAAACGATACAGAGGCGGGTGAAAAGGTCGAAGGGGGCGATTTCGCGAAACCGGTTTTTGGTCGGCGCATCGTGCACTTGATTACGGTACTCTGCGTGCTTCAGTATATTTGAATCACGTGGGCGATGTCACACGAGAAAGGATTGCTGGACTCGTCTTCGCAGTAAGGTACGGTAGTTTGCGTATCCCAGTGGTCGGGAAATATCTAGTAAACTGTCCCGGGACGCTTCACTGAATTGACCTTTTCCCGACCTTTGACCCCGGAAAATTCTTCTCTTACTTTATTGGACACGTAGTGGACATAGCGATCGTTTCAATATTATGTTGTTGTTCTTGTTCTTTGACACGTTTTTGAAAAGTCGCTTTTCTCTTTGATTACTGGACCAATTGCTTTGAAATTTTCAGTAGTTGAGGATGGAATTTTTTTCTAGAAGGCTATTACTTTTATATATTTCTAAATTTTGTATGAATTCTATTAAGTTTGATATTTCGTCCGAAATTTCTTTCTAGTTTTTTTTATCCATGGAAAGACGGATTTTAGTCCGCGGGAAGACTGGCTTTACGTTTTGATTCTGCAAAATTCCTGCTACTGAAAATCTGAAAATTTTTTGGTGGTACCGGTAGCGTCAAAGGTACCGGTAAAGACTGATTCGATTTCGTCTACGTGTCCATATATTTGAGCGTTGCTCTCTAGTTTACTGAAATTTATTTTTTCGGTGCTTATTTTAAGTGTGGTTTCGCGAGTTGTTGCCTATAAAATGAAGTATTTGTTTCAAACTATCATTCTAATTCATACCATTCAACAATCTGTTTTTTAAAAGTACCAGTAAAGAACTTTAGCCTAGTGTATCACAGCTATTTCTACACTAATTTTTTATTACTGTAATTAAACTGAAACTCCTAGGATGATGATTGACTTATTCAATCAAAAATTAACGAATATAATTCGAAATTGCGAAAATGAGGTAATGTTCACGGCCACGCCTGAAAGTCTGTCTGAATGGATGCGAAAGGGGGCATTGTCACGTTTATTTTTGGATCTTGCTGAATGACCAATGTCATGAGTTATACAAGAAAGTCTATGCCAGGGGAAGCTTCCAAACGGCGGTTTTAACTATGAATTAATTTTTACATTTTTTCACGTAACATAGTTTATTGTTAGACACGGTTGGACTAAATTTCATTATATCCTAAAAATTATATTGAACAGCTACTCGTTTTACGCTTCATACGCTACCCCTTGTGCACGAACCAGAGCTCTGTTTGGTTATTTTGTGACAGATATCAGCAGTGTCTTGTCTAGTGTAGATGAGAGGAACTCCAGGTCTGGCCAAATTTATTACTACTCTATCAAAAATTTCACAGCTTGATGTCTTTGATTTAAAATACTTCCAATGTTGGCAACTGAAAGTATTTGCTCATTGAAACGTTCGAAGTATTGCAGTTTTCGTAATTAGACGATAACTAGAACTTTTTGAAATCAACATTTTCAGAAATAATTCAAGCTTTAGCGCACGTTAAAAGCATTAGTTTTCCCCGCATGCTATTAGCAGAAATAATGATTTAAAAGTAGCCCATTATGATTTGTTTTCTTGCAGAATCTCGCTGGAGTCCTTGGGAGAGGTTAAGTTGCAGAATTTGTAGAAGGGACCACATTGATCACGGTATATTTGTCGATGCAGTGAATTGACTTTAATTCTTCACAAACTTGAAACCAATTTTGAGTATACGAGAACATTACGAGAAGGGCATCTTCATAGATTGTAGAGATAAAACATTATAAATCTTTCACAAAATATCGTAGTTATCAGTATGACATTACAACTTGTATATGTCACAATTTTGCTTTATACGGATAAGATCAAGGATAAGGATTTACATATTTATGCCGGGGAGAGGAAAGCCGGTAAGACGGCTTAACCACACGGCGAACCACGGCCTCTCGTCCGTTTACCATTCCATGTCGGGTATGGGATTAGTTAGTTATTTGTTTTCGGAAGCATGGACTTGATGGTGGAGGAAGCCGTAACCGACCAGCGGTTACGTGAACCACCCTACGGCGGCGAGGAGTCAGCAATCCTCTCGCACATAACCATCCCGCATGGGATTCGAACCTGCAAACCCGCAAACCAGAGTAATAAGAGGTCCGGTGGCGAGCGTATTTCTAACGCTTAGCACGATCAGCCATCTCTATCTCATACGCTACATCTTATGCCTGTACCAAGGTCAAGGTGTCGTTGCGGAGGGTAACATGGGATAAACATTTCAGGCCTGACTAAACATATTACTACTCTATTTTCATTATGTACAAAAACACGCAGACGCTACTTCCATCGCAGTAAAATTCTAATGATTCGATTTATGAGATTACGTCATACCTTCCCCCACTTTCGTAACAAGCGAGAGGAAAGTGAGAAAAAACGGCCGCTTGTTTAACTTAAATTTGGTAATCTTGTTTAACTTAAACCTTTATTATTTCAACGCCATGCTCCTGAACAAAAAATGTTGAACTTCATCAATCAGGAATCCCAACAGTCTACTCTTTAAACTGTTATTCTAGACAGCAAAATGCATATATAAATATTAGTTTTCTTTTTAGTCACAATTACGATTTATACGCTGCCCCTTGTGCATGAACCAGAGCTCTGTTTGATTATTTTGTGACAGATAACAATAGTGTCTTGTCTAGTGTAGATGAGAGGAACTCCAGGTCTGGTCAAATTTATTACTACTCTATCACAAATTCAACAGCTTGATATCTTTGATTTAAAATACTTCCAATGTTGGCAACTGAAAGTATTTGCTCATTGAAACGTTCGAAGTATTGCAGTTTTTGTAGTTAGATCATACATAGCACTTTTTCAAATCTAAACTTTTAGAAATACCTCAAGATTTAGCGCACATTAAGCATTAGTTTTCCCCGCATGGTATTAGCAGAAATAATAATTTAAACGTAGCCTATTACTATTTGTTTTCTTGCAGAATCTCGCGGGAGTCTTCGACAGAGGTTACGTTGCAGAATTTGTAGACGGGACCACATTTTTCACGGTATGTTTGTCGATGACAGTGAATTGACTTTAATTCTTCACAAACTTGAGATAAATTTTTGAGAGCACGAGGACATTACGAGAAGGGCATCTTCACCGATTGTAGCGATAAAACATTATAAATCTTTCATAAAATATCGGAGTTATCAGTATGACATTACAACTTGGATATGTCACAATTTGGCTTTATACGCTACCCCTTGTGTCTGTACAAAAGTTAAGGTGTCGTTGCGGAGGATAATGAAAGAAGCATTCCAGGTCTGACTAAACGTATTACCACTCTAATACCATTATGTACAAAAACACGCTCGCAGGTAGCTCCGATCAAATGCATGAAATGTGGAACTATGGAAACTTGGAATTTAAGGTTAATGGAGTTGATTTTTTTTTGGCATTCAATGATTATTTACATACGGATTAGTGGTGGTAAAAATCGTATGTTTTCAATCGAATTATTTCAATATTTTTAACGAAAACCGAATAATGAGTATTGTCATTTCAAACAACATTAATTGGGATGTCGGACGCCGAAATGATCACCGTGACATTAAATATCGTTTTTACGGATTTTACTAGAAGGATGAAAACTCTGTAACAATGCGGCGTTTTTATTCCACAATTTTGCCATAATCGAAGGCCGAAATAATTTTTTCCCAGTTAATGTTGTTAAACTATATTACAGCGCTGTTTTATTCACTAGTAAATTTTGAATCTCACGCAAAGGCGAATATGGTAGTTTGCTTTTTAAATTTCGCGCAGAAATGTTCACATCGGCAGATATGTTAAAGATAACTATAAAGGAGTGTATTCACAACACAAATTAATTTTATTCTGATTTTTCTTTTCTGTGTAGGATTTGTATCACAGTTTGTAAATTACGATCCCAATTATTAAGCGAACAGTATTATCATTACTGACCCTGATGCGATATTTGTGAAGCGAATAGTTGATGTTTTTATGCTTTTGATTTTATATCTTGTACGTGTTAATTTCGTATTAATTAATAATTGAAAACTTCGCAAATTGGTAATCTCTTGAATACTCAGTGTTGAGTATTCACGTAACTCAGATTTGGGTTAGACAATAATACTAAACACGTGAATAAATCGGAAATAATGGCATTTCTACGTGGTCAAAATAATATTTATCTCTAATATCTCGAAAAATTTCCAACGAATATAATATTTACATGTCTTACTTATCTGGTTCGACGCTTCTAAATTAACAAAAGCGTTGTTGACGCGCTTCATGTAAAATTAGGAATTGAAAAATATGATAGGTGCAAAAAGGCAAGGAAAATTTTATTTACATGTGACGTTTCTACCTGTTAGCGACAGCCAGCCGTCGCCAAATTCTTACCCGTAACTCGTAGATTGATGTTAATAAATTCTATTTTTCTTTTCAATGCGCTTTGATTTGTATTGATAGAAGAGATTGAGTCGGAAAATGAAATCTTTTAATTAGCATATAACCAATCTTTTCTTTTGAACGCCCATAACGGCGGTTAAAATCATCTCATGTCTGTTTTATGTAGAAAAAATAAAATACGCCCTATTGAATCGCAATCAACAAATACACATTCTTATTTGTCATTATTAACGCCAACTAGAAAAGATAATGTATCGCAAAGACGAAGAAAGTCTGGCGGTGTTGATTTGCGCTACGGTGATAACGCGCAGAATAATATCGTTTTGACCGCGAAACCAAGATGCGCGACCGTAAACGACGCTGTTACCTAAGGCTGGCTACGCCCCTGGAATGCCAATACGGTTGAGGGGGAATGAATGCTAAGCCATCGCCTGTTTGGAATAGGCGAAATAAATAAAAATATCTGAAACTTATGGGATATATCTTGTTTAACTTTTTAATATGTTTTTAATATGGTTCCATTACATTTGAACCCACGTACATTTGAACCCATGACAATTGCACCTGTATGCTATTGCACCTATGGAATTTTTTTTTGTTTCACGGATAGTTAAACCCATACTAACCCTAACCCATGGGTTTTAGCACCCGCATATAGATTGAACCCGTGGATATACGCATGGGTTCAAATGTAAATGGGTTCAAATGTACGGTCACCTTTTAATATATGAACAACAAACGTTGAATTTTCTTAATCAGAACTCACGACAACCTATATATATTCAAGGCAGTAACCTGCAAAAACAAAGAATACCTTAAATTCAAAAATTATTTATATATTTGTGATATTTCTCAAAAAATCCTTCGTCCCAATTGTATGAATCGTTATGTGTTTCGTGTCAACTACATAAGTATATGATGACATAAAGGCAGAACATATTTTTTTTAACTTACCGTAATTGCTCAATTTCTTTTTCACGAAAATGTAATAGAGTTACGATTTTACCAAAATCCCCTTGTATCTGTTCCCGAACTATGTTTGATCATTTTTATCAATGACAGATATAGACTATGACTGGCTTATTCGAGCAAGATTTCAATACTTCAATGCGGAATATATGGAAAGAAACATTCCAGGTCTGATCTTTTTAGCGTCTTTAAATTACTTCTCACTTGTGATCTAAAATAATTCCAATTTTGACAACAGAACGTATTTGCCAATGTAAACGTGCGAAATATTGAACTGTTTGATTGAAAACCGATTCTAGAATAGAAGGAGATAAACATCACAAATTAAACTTTGGAACAAATCGATGACTTGCAATATGCGTTAGAAAGTTAGCGATCTTTTTTGTATTGAAACAGAGAACTCGCCTCATTGAATCTTAGCAACTTATTTTATTTCATGTTTGTTTTTGATATATTTGGCAAGGACGCATTATTTGCAATCAAACGTAGTATGTCGCTGATATGTAAACTATCTAATTTTTGCCGGTCGAAACAGCATGTGGTTAGATTCCGACTTCCTACAAATAATGGGGTTTACGATACATTTACAAATTGACCATGTTTGATAAGTTGATTCTCTACATCCTTTAATCATTTTTCCGGACGAAGTTGAAACCAGGTGTGATGGCTTCAATCGGTCTCAACATAATTTCCCCGTTATTTACGCTTAAAATGTACGCTGACCATGCTAAAAAAGTTGATAGTTAGTAAATGGCAGACGCTACTTCCGTTGCAGTAAAATTCGAATGATGCGATACATGGGATTACGTAATACCTTCGTAACAAGAGAGAGAAAAAGAAAAAAATTGCTCCTAATACATGAACCCGAACTTCCTCTATAATTTCCATTTTTATTTTTGAATGACGTTTAGATATGTCAATGGCTCTTAACGGCATGTGCCAAATGAAGTATATATACGTTCTTGGCACTGACAGTATTAAACGGCGCCATCATCGCGCCATTTCATATGGCTGTTTTGGATAGGTGATATAAACAAAAATATCTGAAACGTATGAGATATATATATATCTTGACTTAAATCTCCATTATTTCACTGCCATGCTTTTGAACAAAAAATGTTGAACTTCATCAATCAGAAATCCCAACAGTCTATTCTATAAACTGTTATTCAAGACAGTAACATGCATATATAAAAATTAGTTTTATTTTTAGTCACAATTACGATTTGTACGCTACCTCTTGTGCATGAACCAGAGATCTGTTTGGTTATTTTGTGACAGATAGCAGCAGTGTCTTGTCTAGTGTAGATGAGAGCAATGAGCATATATACAATGAGTGGAAACTTGCAAAGATTTGCTCATTTTGGTATTGTTCCCTGCATTTTTACGTCGTCCAGCTAAATGGTTCGTTGCATATTAAGAAAACGCATTGCTCGCTGCCAAAATCCCTTGCTTCAGCCGAGTCGGGTGCGAAATTGGCCGTATTGAGGTCTGTAATTCTTCAATACATATTTGGTTTTGGGTTTCGAAGTATGGTACGCTGAAAGCATACAACTATGAGCATATGCTTATTGGGAATGCATATCTATTAGGCAGAAAACGTATCTACAGAACAGAATATGAACCAGTCGCCTAGAGGGGTGCGGTTATTTATGTATTTATTCATTGATATAACATGGGATTTACATATTTATCCATGGGAGAGGAAAGCCGAGAAGAATGCCTAAATATATGGCGAACCACGGCCTCTCACAATCATAGCTCTGTCCTCCATATGAATCACATGGCTCTGCGAGCTATTCGTTTACCTATTAAAAATACTGATTTTAACTATAAATTACTCTGGGATATCTTGCCTTTGAAAACAAAAGCCAGAAATTGGAAGAAAATCAGGGAATGAAACGTGTGTATTATGTAATGGAGAACCTGAGTTTGTTTCACATATTTTCATGTATTGTAAATTACAAAAAATATTTATGAAGAATTTGTTTTAGATATATTAAAATTGATTAGAATACATTTTGTTATCAATATGATTCTTGCATATCATTTAATTTTAACGATCCTTTATATAGTCATATAGATACTGTTGATTTGGATGCAATTATACTTTTGTTATCAATAGTGAGAAATATTTCAGGACTGCTATTAACTATGTGAGCTATTTTTTCTGCAATGCAAAATACATCTTGCGTCTGCTATTTACTATGTGAATTAATTTTTCTGCAATGTAAAGTATTTCCATAACTGCTTTTACTATGTGGGCTGTTTTTTCGGTACTCTTGTAGTATGTGTACCAGGTTAGGTTACGATTCTCCTTATTTTTGTTCTATTAAAAGTTCGGGAATTGTCTGTGTTACACAAGTGAATATCCCCTACCGATAGAATTTAGTCCATTTACACAACTTGATATAAAATAGGCGAACAAAATTAGTTACCTTCATATTGGTACACATACTTCTGGAGCACCATTTTTTTTGTAATGTAAAATATTTAATATGTGAACTAATTTTTTTGGAATGCAAAATATTTTCTACAGCTTCTGTATTTTTCATATGTCACTTTTCATTTCATCGAAAATACACATGGTCTGGCACATTGTTCATTCTTTGTGGAGATTTTGGTAAATTTACAGATGGAATAAGACCGACATTCAGCTTTTTTCTGTTTTACAACTGTAATACAAATTGAAGTATGTAAACCCAGTTGGTAGACACCGGAACCATGTGTACCAGGTTAGGGTCTACTACATACAAGCATTCCCAAACTTTTCAAGCCGCACCCCCTTTTTAGAATTTGTGAAGTCTTGCGCCCCACCTCAAAATAGTTAGCTAACAATAATAAGCTACAAATAACAGTAAGGCATAAGTACGTTTTATTGGAAAAACAGTTGAAAATACATGGATGGAACGAAATAAATGACAAGTTTTGATATGCAAATATTTACAAGTTTTGATATGTATAAAATTAGCCAAGTCCAGAAGTCAGTATTTTAAACTAATAGAGAGAGAGAGTTTATTTCGTTCGTCAAACCATGAACATATATAAATTATAATAAAAAAAAGAGATGCTCAGGTGTTTGACTGGGAGACAACGTTACAACATTTGGGGTCATTTAACAGGTTCGGTGTTAAATTCTTCAATAGCTCTCATATACCGTATTCACTATATACATTATTCACAAGAATTTTTGATTTGGAAAGTACTAAATAATCATGTTTTGTCCTAAGATCATCATTTATTCAGCTGATAAGTTGACATGTATTGCATATCAACTGCATAAAAATGGGTTAGCAAGGATACCTATTATTTGGAAAATTTATCTACTAAAAATTAATGTGATAGGACATGGGTTTTTTATGAGCAAAGATGAGGAAAATTCTATTATTATAGCACTTTAATTATAAACATTTGATAATAGTAATGAAATCATGAGTATATTTCTTTATACACTATAATTTGAACCCATCAAATTATAATACTTGATTATGACTGGCAAGTGATTTGGAGGATAGTGACACACATTAATACATGATCAGGATTTGACCCTTCTCCAGCAGATATATATATATATATGAAATAAAGTGCTCATGTACATATCTATATTCGGCTACAGAGCACGTATCATAGAATGAATTTTAAGGCGAAATATTGATAATATACCGAAATAGCAATGATAAACAATAGGTTATTTTTAAATAAGTATTACCGGTACTAAAAAATAAATAAAGTGCTCATATACATATAGATATTTGGATACAGAGCAAGTATCATAGAATAAAATTCAAGGCAAAAAATTGATTAAATACCAGAATAGCAAGTATAATAAACATTAAGATACTTTTAAACGAAGTATTACTAAAAAATAAATAATGTGGTCATGTACATAGATATTTGGATACAGAGAAAGTGTCATAGAATTTAGGGCGAAATATGGATGCAAGTATGATAAACAATTTGATATTTTTATAAAAAGTGTTACTAACAAATAAAATAATAGATTATGGAGTTCCAGCAAGTGTGCTCATAACAAATAAAAAGATAGCAATTCATTTACCACAGTGAATTAAATTCATTACACATTACTACTTGCTATAACACGGCGGGCACATGATACTCATCGTGTTTTAAACTTTTTTAAAGGTTTTGCTCGCTCTCCAGAACTCTCCATTTTTTATTTGTTTGTATTGTCAGATTGTGGACTTTTCAAAATAAACTATCTTTATCAATGAATACAATATCCCAGGTCACCACTTGGCTGGTTCATATTCTGTTCTGTAGTTAAGTTTTCTGCCTAATAAATGGTATGTATTCCCAATAAGCATTACAGTATGCTCATTCGTTCACTCAATGAGTGATTTTAATTACGGTTAATATAAATAAGTTCATATTCCATGTTGCATCCATGATTCAGTATTTATTTTGTTCAATTCCAGTAGTAATCCATACCATAATTAGGTTATTTTAATAAATGCATTGATATAAAACAATAAAAATGAAATTAGTAAATATAAAATACATATCATAAACATATAATTTTCTTTTTGAAATAACGCTTTACATAAATTTTTCAATTCCCTCTCAAATGGGTTGTTTATTCTATAATTCTCTATATTTTTCTACATATTATGGCCATTTTTATCTGCTTTTTGAGAAAGGCAAAATGGGGTGTTTTATTTTCGAATATAATAGAATTTCTCATGGTCAAAATTTTATATCTCACTATTGATTACAAAAGTATAATTGCATCCAAATCAACAGTATCTATATGACTATATAAAGGATCGTTGAAATTAAATAATGTGCAAGAATCATATTGATAACAAAATGTATTCTAATCAATTTTAATATATCTAAAACAAAATCCTCATAAATATTTTTTGTAAATTTACAATACATGAAAATATGTGAAACAAACTCAGGTTCTTCATTACATAATACACACATTTCATTCTCTGCTATTCTTCCAATTTCTGGCTTTTGTTTTCAATGGCAAGATATCCCAGAGAAATAGTAAAAATCAGTATTTTTAATAAGTAAACGAATAGCTCGCAGAGCCATGTGATTCATATGGAGGACAGAGCTATGATTGAGAGAGGCCGTGGTTTGCCATATATTTAGGCATTCTTCTCGGCTTTCCTCTACCCTTGGATAAATATGTAAATCCCATGCGCGGCGGTGTGGCTCAACGGGCTAAGCGTTAGGAATACGCTCGCCACCGCACCTCTAATTACTCTGCATGGGTCCGCAGGTTCGAATCCCATGCAGGGATGGTTATGTGCAAGAGGATTGCTGGACTCCTCGCCGCCGTTGGGTGATTCACGTAACCGCTGGTCGGTTACGGCTTCCTCCACTAACAAGTCCATGCTTCCGAAAACAAACAATATAACTAATCCCATGCCCGACTTGGAATGGTAACCGGACGAGAGGCCGTGGTTCGCCATATGGATAAGTCGTCTTATCGGCTTTCCTTTCCCCCGGGATAAATATGTAAATCCTTATCCTTCATTATCCTAATAAATACATAAATAACCGCACCCCACTGGGCGACTGGTTCATATTCTGTACTGTAGGATAAATAATCCAATATTCATTTTTCATATGTCCATTCCATCAGTGTTTGAGGTGTTGATCGCATCGGCATACAATTCATCAATTTTTAGTATATTGAGTTAGATTATGTACAATAAACGTAAAAAATTAAATATATTAGACATGTTCATTTTAATACATACTAAATTTATACACACTAGATTTATAGTTCAAATACAATTCCTTAGTATTTCAAATTCTCTGACAAAATTTGGTGATTTTCTATTTTTTTCAATGTTGAGTCTGTAAGTGATTGCAGTTTTTATTTGTTTGATAACTAGGTGCTGATTAGGGGTATTACTTTCGAATATAACAGAATTTCTTTGTATCCATATTTTATATCTAGTGATTGAAATTAAATAAACATCTTGTAATGTTGGAATGTAACAAATAGCTTAAATCCAATAAAACACAAGTTTCATAATTTTTCAAAAGTCTGGCATTATTTAAATTCCTAACAGTATTTTCCATGAAATCAAAAACATAATCAAAATATTCACAATTCATAAAAAGATGGCTAACAAATTCTGGTTCTTTTCCACATAACACACACATATCATTTCCTGCTATATTTCTTATTCCAGGTTTTGTTTTTACTGGTAAAATATCCCACATTAACTTGAAATTAAAGGTTTTCATATAGTTTGCCAGAATATTATTATGAATATTCTCACATGCAATATTTAAATTACAATTGCGTAGAAAAATTAATCTGTCCCCAGTCATAGAAATAACAATTTTTTTATAAATAGTTTTATGCATATCTTCTTTTATATCTGTACTACTTATGTTATGCTTTCTTAAAAATTCTAATATTAATCTATACTCACTTTGAGGACAAAATCTATGTAAACATGTATTTTTAGTTCTAATCCCCCAAAATGTACTAAGTTGTTGTCCAATATTGTATTCAACAAAGGACATACAAATATGATTGTAATCCTCATTATAATCACATTCTCTAGCTTTATAATAATCCAAGACACTAATTATGTACATGCACATTGTAAAAATGGGTATGTTAATAATATCATAACCCCCCAAATTTTTTGGTTTGCACAAATTCCCTATTTTCAGTATGCTTCTTCCATTGAATACAAATTTTTCCACGTTTACTATCTAATAGATATGCATTCCCAATAAGCATATGCTCATAGTTGTATGCTTTCAGCGTACCATACTTCGAAACCCAAAACCAAATATGTATTGAAGAATTAAAGACCTCAATACGGTCAATTTCGCACCCGACTCGGCTGAAGCAAGGGATTTTGGCAGCGAGCAATGCGTTTTCTTAATATGCAACGAACCATTTAGCCGGACGACGTAAAAAATGCAGGGAACAATACCAAAATGAGCAAATCTTTGCAAGTTTCCACTCATTGTATATATGCTCATTGATAAGAGGAACTCCAGGTCTGGCCAAATTTATTACTACTCTATCAAAAATTCAACAGCTTGATATCCTTTTTCAATCTTGGCAACTAAAAGTATTTGCTCATTGAAACGTTCGAAGTATTGCAGTTTTCGTAGCTAGACCAATATTGGAACTTTTCAAAATCTAAACTTTTAGGATACTTCAAGCTTTATAGCACGTTAAAAGCATTAGTTTTCCCCGCATGGTATTAGCAGAAATAATGATTTAAACGTAGCCTATTACTATTTGTTATCTCGCAGAATCTCACAGGAGTCTTCGGCAGAGGTTACGTTGCAGAATTTGTGGAAGGAATCACATTGATCACGGTATGTTTGTCGATGACAGTGAATTGACTTTAATTCTTCACAAACTCGAGACCAATTTTTGAGAGCACGAGGACATTACGAGAAGGGCATCTTCGCCTATTGTCGAGATAAAACATTATAAATCTTTCATAAAATATCGGAGGTATCAGTATGACATTACAACTTTGATATGTCACAAATTTGCTTTATACGCTACCCCTTGTGGCTGTACCAAGGTTAAGGTGTCGTTGCGGACGATAATGAAAGAAACATTCCAGGTCTGACTAAACGTATTACCACTCTAATACCATTATGTACAAAAACACGCTCGCAGGTAGCTCCGATCAAATGCACGAAATGTGAAACTATGGAAAATTGGAATTTAAGGTTAATGGAGTTGATTTTTTGGGGGGATTCAATAATTATTTACATACGGCGTGATTAGTGGTGGTAAAAATCGTATTTTTTCAATCGAATTATTCCGATATTTTTAACGAACACCGAATAATGAGTATTGTCATTTTTAACAACATTAGTTGGGATGTCGAACGCCGAAATGATCAACGTAACATTAAATATTCATTTCACGGATTTTACTAGAAGACTGAAAACTCTGTAACAATGCGGCGTTTTTTGATTCCATAATCGAAGGCCGAAATAAATTTTTTCCAGTTAAATGATGTTAAACTATATTAAAGCGCTGTTTTATTCACTAGTAAATTTTAAATCTCACGCAACGACGGATATCTGATTCTGATTTTTATTTTCTGTGTAGGATTTGTATCACAGTTTGTAAATTACGATCCCAATTATTAAGCGAACAGTATTATCATTACTGACCCTGATGCGATATTTGTGAAGCGAATAGTTGATGTTTTTATACTCTCAATTTTATATTTTGTACGTGTTAATTTCGTATTAATTAATAATTGAAAACTCCGCAAATTGGTAATCTCTTGAATATTCAGCGTTGAGTATTCACGTAACTCAGCTTTGAGTTAAACACTGATACTAAACACGTGAATAATTCGGCATAATGGTATTTCTACGTGGTCAAAATAATATTTATCTCTGATATCTCGAGAAATTTCCATAGAATACAATATTAACATTTTTATTAATAACAGATAGAAGCTATGAAAGGTTTAGTGAACAAGAAGATCTATACTTCTATCTGGAATATATGGAACGAAACATTTCAGGTCTGATCTTTTTAGCGTCTTACTTCTCACTTGTGATCTAAAATAATTCCAAAGTTGACAACTGAAAGCATTCGCCAATGGAAACGTGCGAAATATTGAACTGTTTGATTGAACTATATAGAATCGAAAACCGATTCTAGAATAGAAGGAGATAAACATCACAAATTAAACTTTGGAACAATTCGATGACTTGCAATATGCGTTAGAAAGTTAGCGATCTTTTTTGTATTGAAACGGAGAACTCGCCTCATTGAATTTTAGCAACCTCTTTTATTTCATGTTTGTTTTTGATATATTCGGCAAGGACGCGTTATTTACAATCAAACGTGGTATGCCGCTGATATGTAAACTATCTAATTTTTGCAGGTCAAAACAACATGTGGTTAGATTCCGACTTCCTACAAATAATGGGGTTTACGATACATTTACAAATTGACCATGTTTGATAAGTTGATTTTTTACATCCTTTAATCATTTTTCCGGAAGAAGTTGAAACCAGGTGTGATGGCTTCAATGGGTCTCAACGTAATTTCTCCATTATTTACAGTTAATAAAATGTACAATGGCCATGCTAGATAAGTTGATAGTTTAGTAAATGGCAGACGCTACATCAGTCGAGGTAGAATTCGAAAGATGCGATGCAAGGGATTACGTAACACCTTCGTAACAAGAGAGAGAAAATGAAAAAAATGGCTCCGAATACCTAAACCTGAACTTCCTCTATAATTTCCATTTTTATTTTTTGAATGATGTTTATTTACGTCAATGGCACTTAACGGCATGTCTTACTTATCTGGTTTGACGCTTCTAAATTAACAAAAGCGGTGTTGACAAGCTTCATGTAAAATTAAGACTTGATAATTATGATAGGTGCAAAAAAGCAAGGAAAATTTTATTCACATTTGTCGTTTCTACCTGTTAGTGACAGCCGTCGCCAAATTTTACCTGTAACTCATAAATTGATGTTAATAAATTCTATTTTGCTTTTCAATGCGCTGTGATTCGTATTGATAGAAGTGATTGAGTCGGAAAATAAAATCCTTAAATTAGCATATAACCCTTCTTTTTTTTGAACGCCCATAACGGCGGTTAAAATCATTTCATGTCTGTTTCATGTAGAAAAAATAAAATACGCCTTACTGAATCGCAATCAGCAATTACACATTTCTATTTATCATTATCAGCGTCAACTAGAAAAGATAATGTATCGCAAAGACGAGAAAAGTCTGGCGGTGTTGATTTCGCTACGGTGATAACGCGCAGAATAATATCGTTTTGACCGCGAAACCTGATGCGCGACCTTAAACGACGCTGTTGCCTAACGCTGGCTACGCCCCTGGAATGCCAACACGGTCAAGGTAATAACGCGTGGAATGAATGCCAAGTCATCGCCTGTTTGAAATAGGCGAGATAAAGAAGAATATCTGAAATTTGTGAAATATATCTTGTTTAATTTTTAATATGTTTTTAATATATGAACAACAAACGTTGAATTTCTCAATCAGAACTCACGCCAACCTATATATATTCCATTCAGTAACATGCAAAAATAATGAATATCAGTTATATTTTTCTGGTATTTGTCAAATACCTGTTGTCCCAATTGTATGAATCATTATGTGTTTCGTGTCAACTACATAAGCATATGATGACATAAAGGCAGAACATAATTTTTTTTTAACTTAATTGCTTACTTTTTTTTTCACGAAGAGGTAAAAAATAGAATTACGATTTTACCAAAATCCCCTTGTACCTGTACCCGAACTATGTTTGATCATTGACAGATATAAGCAATGGCTCAACAATGCCAAGGTCTATGGAAGAAGAATATGAATGCGTCGTTGCGGAATACGAGATGGAACGGAACATTTCAGGTCTGATGTTTTTAACGTATGTAAACTACTTCTCACTTGTGATCTAAAATAATTTCAATTTTGACAACAGAAAGTATTTGCCAATGTAAACGTGCGAAATATTGAAATGTCTGATTTAAATATATAGAATCGAAAACTGATTCTAGAATAGAAGGAGATGAACATCACAAATTAAACTTTGGAACAAATCGATGACTTGCAATATGCGTTAGATAACGTTAGCGATCTTTTTTTGTATTAAAACGGAGAACTTTATTTTTTCTTAGCAACTTCTTTTATTTTATTTTTTTTTTGTTATATTCGCAAATGACACATTATATACAATCAAACGTAGTAGGCCACTGATATGTAAACTATCTAATCTTTGCAGGCCGAAACAACATGTGGTTAGATTCCGTTTCCTACTTCGTACAAATAATGGAGTTTACAATACATTTAGGAATTGACCATGTTTGATAAGTTGATTTTCTACATCCTTTAATCCTTTTCCGGAAGAAGTTGAAACCAAGTGTGATGGTTTCAATCGGTCTCAACGTAATTTCTCCATTATTTACAGTTCATAAAATGTACACTGGCCATGCTAGATAAGTTGATAGTTTAGTAAATGGCAGACGCTACTTCCATCGCAGTAAAATTCGAATGATGCGATTCATTGGATTACGTCATACCTTCCCCCACCTTCGTAACAAGCGAGAGGAAAGTGAAAAAACGGCTCCGAATGCCTGAACTTCCTCTATATTTTTCTTCTTTGAATGACGTATAGATACGTCAATGGCACTTAGCGATGTGTGCCAAATGACGTATATATACGTCCTTGGCACTGACAGAGTGACAGTGTTAAACTGCGCCATCATCGCGCCATTTTATAGGACTGTTTTGAATAGGTGATATAAACACAAATATCTGAAACGTATGAGATATATCTTGTTTAACTTAGATCTTTATTATTTCAATGTCATGCTCCTAAACAAAAAATGTTGAACCTCATTATTCAGAAACCCCAACAGTCTATAAACTGCTATTTAAAGCAGTAACATGCATATATAAATATTAGTTTTATTTTTAGTCACAATTACGCTTTATACGCTACCCCTTGTGCATGAATCAGAGCTCTGTTTGGTCATTTTGTGACAGATAGCAGCAGTGTCTTGTCTAGTGTAGATGAGAGGAAGTCCAGGTCTGGCTAAATTTATTACTACTCCATCAAAAATTCAACATCTTGATATCTTTGATTTAAAATACTTCCAATTTTGGCAACTGAAAGTATTTGCTCATTGAAACGTTCGAAGTGTTGCAGAGTTCGTAGTTAGACCATAACTAGAACTTTTTAAAATCTAATCTTCTAAAATCCCCGCATGATATTGGCAGAAATAATGATTTAAAAGTAGCCTATTACTGTTTGTTTTCTTGCAGAATCTCGCGGGAGTCTTCGGCAGAGGATACGATGCAGAATTTGTAGAATGGACCACATTGATCACGGTATGTTTGTCGATGACAGTGAATTGACTTTAACTCTTCACAAACTTGAGACCAATTTTTGAGAGCACGAAGACATCATGTGAAGGGCATCTTCACCGATTGTCTAGATAAAACAATATAAATGTTTCATAAAATATTAAAGTTATAAAGTATGACATTACAACTTGAATAGGTTACAGTTCTGCTTTTTATGATACCCCTTGTGCCTGCACCAACCTCTTTTTTGTCATTGACAGATAGCAGCAGTGACTCGTCTAGTGAAGAAGAAGGTCAAGGTGTCGTTGCGCAATATAATGACAGCAACATTCCAGGTCTGACTAAATGTATTACTACTCTATCACAAATCCTATTTTATCATAATAAAACCGGAATGTTATGAATCAGTCGAATTTGGGATAGTGTTTTAGCGTCTTTGAAGTACTTCTCACCTATAATCTAAATTCTAAAATAATTCCAATTTCATCAACTGAAAATATTTGTTAATTAAACGTGCGAAATATTGCAGTGTATGATTGGAATGTGTAGAATTTATTGAAATTGAAGAAAATTTACAATATTCTACGATAGGAACTTCACGAAGAAGCGAACAGGGTGACAACCGCGTCTATAATGATGAACATGGCGAAACCAAAGTTGAAGAAGTCGCAGCAGGATCAAGTGGTCAAGCTGACGATCGCATCGTGACTGATGAACGTGGACAAACTTCAGTTAAATACGACGAGGAAGGCGAGAGAATGGAAATTGATTATGTCGATGACGGTAAGTTTTTATTTAGCTTTCATTATTTGATGCACAATTTGTAAATATAATGGATCCAAGCTCGAATATATATATGCCACGAGATTTGCATAACAGTACGCTACTTTGAATCCTTATAAAGAATGTGTTGAAAGATGGAAAAGCATGCATGGTCAGTTTTTTCTTAGTCCCCATCAGTCATATATCGCTTCCACGCACAAGTTGATCACTTACTTGTAATGATGAAATTACATAACCTCAAACAATGAACCTGAAAGCTTTGAATTCAGGCACACCCGATTTGTATAACATCGGCTATTTTTTTCTACAGAAGATCATCCATTCATGACCCCGGGTAAGTGACATCCTTAAATTTGTTCCCGTTTTGCTAATCCCAGACTGACAATAGCCGATAAAATGCTCATTAACGGTTTTAAACAATAATTAATTTGAACCATTCATATCCCATACACAATAATACCGACAGTAAATTGGCCATAATAGCGCTCTAGCGTTAGACCAAATTACGACTGACGGGCCGGATTTACCATTGAAAATATAGATACAAATAACGTCACAATGGCCCAGATTGTCAAATTGCGCTTATTATTATATAAATGTTAATTAGGCCTAGCTGTTGTAAATGAACTGTTTTTCATTCATAATCATATTTTGAGTTTGGAGCCTCCTGTCCAGGGCAATAAATCAAATCCATTATCTTACTCAGAAATGTAATTGCCCGCCCCTGCGTTTGTAGGCGTCGTAGGTTATATCGATCAATGTCCTACCTCGATGGCACAACTTCACTTATGTCGTAATGGGTTAGACATCGCCGATCCATACATACACAAATTATTACTTTTTACCACACAACACTTTCTTATATGACAATGACGACTTTTATAGTCTTTTGTTTTAAGTAAATGTGCTAAAATAGAAATTGACTCCTGACATAACTGTTGAAATACATTCAGACGAAGAAGATAATGATGATACTTTGCATGATAATCGTCAGCAACCTCGAGGTAAGACTTCCATTAGCCAATTCGTAAGAAAATCAAATTTTATTTCGGAATTCAAATAAATTTTTCAAGTGCGATCAATAAACCCCCGAGTCAATAGAAAATTTATTAATGTAAAAGAAATATTTGAACATTCAGAATTGTAGAAGAAGTATTAAAAATTCAGTATTGTAAAAGTTTGAATATCGCAGAGAAATTATTAATATAATTTAACGTTATTGAAAAACAGATTTACAGCAATCCATAACAATTCATTGATTTTAGAATGCTTTAAAGCGACAAGGATTTGTCGATTTTATATTCGTTTAATTGTATCCATCATACCCATTCGTCAGGCTTGGCATAAATTAGCACAAAGTTATTAGATTTTTTTTTGTGTGCTGTTGTAGGTCCCGGACGTGAAGGACCGCAGGTTGAAGAACCACATGGCGACGAACAAGAAAATAAAGAGGAAGATGAAGGTGTTGTCGTCACTGTGGTTCGAGATGACGACGACGAACATCAAAGAAAGGCGTTCAAGTCCAGGGAAGAGGAAAAAAAGAAGTAATGAATAATTGAATGAATTTTCAATTACATATCATCTTATTGGAAATTTTAGTTATCAAATATACGTGTTTGAACTAGCAATGATAGAATGAATTTTAAATAACATATCGTTGTACATAATTTTAGGTTTTGAATATACGCGTTGATATGATCGAATGAATTATATATCATCTTATTGAAATTTTGGGTTGTTGAATATACGCTTCAAACTAGCAAAATATAATCATCCTATAATAATAAATTTGTATAATTTATTGAATGGAAATATTCAGGTTAACTCAGGTAAACAGTAAAGGTGGAATTACAAAGATAGAGATCCAAGAGTTAGCTTTTGGAAATTGTGGTGGAGTTAATAAGGCGCGCTTCCAGTAACGGCAGAGAGTGATATAGGTTTATCATAGGGCGAATAATTTATCAGCTCGCATGCAAAAGTTAAAAAATATTTAAAGGTTTTGTACACGGTTTTGAAATAATACCTGGCACAAAGATGGATTTCATTCAAGCTGCCGCTAGATAATCTGGCTCCAAACGTCCTCACCAAAACCGACAGGTACATTGAACAACTGTGTTTAGAAACTAAGTCATCTAAGTCACCATCACAAAAAAGGGGGGATGATAAAAACAATGCTCAAATATAAAGATAGAAAGGCCGAGACGAGATATTTTATCCCCGGTTTTCCGAAACCCCATTCTGAACAAAGCGAAAGTATGCTGAACATAGCTGTATAAAATAGATTCAATAAACAAAAATATATAAACCTTGTGAGATATATTTAATTGAATACTTGACCGTATTTGTTTCCTCTATCATCGACTTCCTTGCTTACATAATAAGCATAATTATCTTTTCAATAGTTTTAGTTTATTTGTGGTAATCAAATATGTCCATATATTTGGGCGTAGCTCTCTTGTTATTAACGATGTTACTTTATTACTACAGCTGCACTTCCGTTCAGAGGTGAGTGTTTGTAATATATAATCTGAATGTAATATTGCCTTACTTACGTAGATACGGCACTGCTTAGTCGGGTAAGGAAATTGATTTTGTACTTTACCACGTTAAAATTTATTAAACAGTCCTATAGCACTGAAAAGGTCGGGTCCACCGACTCCCGACAGTATGAACTTAATGTACTCAAAGTCTCGCGACAAACGAACTTTTGGTGAATGTTTACCGCGAATTTTTTCTGCATATCCCCAGGACAAATGCAGTGTTATATCTCTCGTTGTAGTACTTCCTGTTCCACGTTGACCCCTCACCTTACAAAAAGCAACAACAAACTTATTCTGTATATTTATAATAGTATTTTATAAAATTAATATCACACAAAAATCAAAAATATGAAATTAAAATCGAAAAATTAAAACAAAACAGAATCACATGGTTGGTTTGTCATACAAATGGAGTCGCCGCGACTAGATTGTCAGTGGTTTCCAAAAGTGGATTTACCGGGACAAATTAGAAGCAGAAGAACATTCGAGGACGGGAAAGGGGAGCGCCTGCAAGGAGCTGATACCGGTACCGATAATAAGATACCGTTATAATTGAATTGTTACGTCATATACACGGGCTAGAACTATGATAATGACGTAACAACCGGCAGTATCTAGAACGCAAAAACATAAAGGGTTGAACTGTTTCACAAGTCCGGGAGGCCATACTAAATTGTTTCGAGGAGCGTAATTCGCCCGTGGGAAGCATTTTGGGAAAAACGGTTGAGTCTGTATTGACTGGCGAATGACATCGTCCAAATGGAACAGATGGGGGGAGAGGCGGAAATAATTTGGGGACCTTGTGATAATTCGCATATGGAACAACTCGTTTGTTCAAAGCTAGGTCATGCGTACTCAGTTAAACGAAGCGAGCAACCAAAATGCCAGAAGCTCATTAAAACATACGGACGTAATGTGGATTGTTAGTATCGAGGTAGCCAACTTTACCAAAATTGGGAAAAGATTGAAATTAAATTGTCTTGAAACACCATAATATCATATATAGAAGATCTTTTGCTATGTCAGTAAGAATGTTCTCTTGATGCATCTGCAAAACGGGTAAATAAGGGATCGAGCAAAAAAAATACGTATCCCTGACCAATCATAATAGCGTTATTGCTGAAATTCATATCAAATGAAAGAAAACGTATTTTAACGTATACCGTACAGGAAGTCCCAAACTTGAGAGTTTATTGCCGGGTATTAAACTTTGTTTGGAAAAATTACCGTGAATTTTGAGGCATTCGTTTGAAAAAGAAGCGATTGAGCAGAGCGAAAATGAAAAAGAATTCTGTTGAGACACTGGAGTTGATGAATAATTTATCTTGAATTTCGTCATTTGGAGTTGTTTCGTTGGGTTGATCATACATTTTTATAACACTTGAAAAACTAAAGGCTGTAATAAAACACCATGATGTTAGAAACCTGACGTCATAATACCCGTTTCCGGTCACGAGAGGGGGGCAAATACTGACAAATAAGACATTACTGATAATTTCATAGTTAAAACCCCCAGGATTGCTCTTGAACTGAGGCATGCCTCATAATTATAAATTGTCTAGAAATGGGCAGAGGAATAGCGTGGAAAAACTTCACAACTGCGAAAACGTCATAATTGCGCAAAAATGTAATTTCAATAATAAAATTAAAATATACAATGACTATACGAATTACCAGAATTTAACTAGTAACAAAACAAATCGTGCTGCATTTTCACAATTATCTCCCCATTTAAGGCCCCATTTAAAAGTAATGCCAAAATAGATAGGGTACAAATTTTAATAACTGTCCCATTTTTTGCAAGGTTGGCAAAGGCAAGATCCCTATGACCAATTGAAAACAAGGAAAAGGGCGGATAATATGCCACTGAAAGTTCTGTTTGAATTTTTGAAAGTCGATACTGGACTGGGTGAATTTCAAGACTATACTTTAGGGCAGGGATACTCAACTGGCGGGCCGAATCCGGACCTTCCGAGTATTCGATTCGGACCGTACTTAATTTCTTATTTCAGATCAGGGGTGTGCAACAGGCGGCCCGCGGGCATAACCCGGCCCGCCAAGACAATAAGTTTGGCCCTTGTCAACACTCCGATATTTTCCTACCAAGCATCAAATTCTAACCTGACAGTTTATGTTTAAAAAAGCGCACACACGGGTTAAAATCCATAATTTTAAGTCTTTCGTCTTTTTGCCTTTGTTACTGTAAGACTTTTTGTGGTGAGAATTTTTTAATTCATTGTGTACCCGAAGGAAATTGAATTTTTTGAATGGCCCGGCTAGATGTCAGAAGTTTGTTATATAGCCCGCCGACAAAAAATGTTGCACACTCCTGTTTTAGATCATTGGCCCCACTTTGGATATGTGAAGGCTTTATTTATGACTTTATAGTTTTAATGGTTATTTTATAATTTGCTCATATTTGCACTTGACTATTTATAAAAATGACTGTGACGAAATAATAAACAATGAGAATAGCGCTATCTCGATTGGCGAAAAATCATTAGCCGGCCAAAATAGTGAGCGTTCAAAGATGTCGAAATAGAATAGACTCAAGTTATTTTAAAGTTTTGTTTACAGATCTTTGGTAAAACAGTTGAGAAGACCTGCTGTACTATATTGTAAAGGAAACAGTTAATTGTATGAGGTTATGTATATTCGACGGCCATGCGTAACTGAAGAAAAATTAAACAATATTGAGTAATATAAAAATTCTAATTAAATGGAACTATTACATAATAATATATGATTTGGAACGAGTAATTATGACATCATTATTCATTTATGACGTCATTATTGTTTGATTCACCAGTGTTTCAATAGAAACAAATCAATAATTTGATGAAGATTTCGTCACTTTTAGAAAAAATGTAAATCGATCAAGATTTCATTGTCTTTCGTTTTTTTATATTCGTTAAAGAGTAATAATGGGCATGCCTGGGCATTTATAATCACTGAAAAACGCAAAGGGTTTAGGTTTAGAGAACTGGGTGTTTTACGACTAAAATTTCTTGTTTTTGTAATTGTTAAAGTTCTATATTTTTCGCTTATGCTGGGGCTGGGTGTAAAACTTGATAAGTGTTCATGTGTGGCGGATTTAAGATTGGGAACACTTTGTATGGCATTCATATAATAGTGGGTCAGAGCGTTGTTCGTCATTGATGAATGGAAATATTCTAAAATCCAGGAAATAAAACCTCTTTTGGTTCTTAACATCGTTTTTCAGTAATTTTTAGGACTTCAATTTGAGAATAGGGACATTTATTATTACATTCGAATGATTGCGGCTACTAGACCAAAACCTTATTCGTAGAAAATTAGTGAACATGTTTAAAAGCCATAGACAAAACACTTCTATTTATCTTATTTAAATTACTTTTTCCTATTTTACAGCGTTTTTCAGAAATTACCAATACCCTATTTAAAAATAGGAACAAATTAAGCCATAGCAGCCGTCTATTTCCATGTATACTTTTATGTATTTTTCCAGCATTTTTCAGTGATTACAAAGAACCGGTTTTGGAAATGGGAACACTTTTTATGACATCCGTATTATCGTAGGTTTACAGTTTTTCTAAAAGTGACGATTCATGGTTCGATCACCAAACTCGACAAGTATCTTCTTCATTTGGATACATGTTGTCTGTTCCTTTGCTGCAACTGTAAGCATCGCCGAATTTGTCGAAGTTGGAGAGAGATCCGATAACCCTGTCGATATCAAAAAACATCGTATGAGCAGCAGTTTACCACTGTTTCTGATACATTCTCATGGATCTAATTTTTTGCGAGTTTTTGCACGTTTTAGCTAGATTTTTTATTGCTTATTTACGGGTTTTGCACGGTTTTGAATTATAATATATTGTAACTCTCCGTAAATTCGTAAAGTTATTCAGTGGTATTTAAAAAATGGAATTCTCAACTAACTGTCGATGACCCTGTCAATATAAAAAGTTCAATCAATCGGATCAACTTGTGTCCTTTCTCCTCTATCAGTGTTTAATCATTCTTGAGAATCATGAGCTTGTTCAGGGCTCTTCAAACTTGGGGTACTGACCCCCCATTGGGTTGCAAAAGGGCTCAACAGGGGTCTTGGTAAAATAATTTCCGACCCTTACTTGTATTTAAACAAAATATTGATCAAATTTTGAAGATTTGGAACCATTACTGAGACCCATCATCACCGAAACTGAACCGAAATTCAATCTCTTGTGCGAGAATATGCAAGCTCATCTGTCT